TGAATTCTAGTTCAACATTAAACATAAGTGATAAAAGTAGATAGCCTAGCCTATTTTGAGACTATAGGGGAAACTGTTAATTCCTGTAGGTTACCTTAGATGCTATTTATCAAGTTTAGGTAGAACCCGTTTAAAGTGAGAGGTTTAGGGTTTGGTTTTTGATTTGGTTCATTATAAACATGTGTTGATAATACAAGTTTTCGTTGTTGGGGTAAACCCTACCTAACATGATGTATTATCTTTATAATATATTGTTGAATTATATCTGCAAATATATTTTTGCTAAGAATTTTTAATATTAAGGTTATGCTGGCCTCATTACATGAAATGGCATATATTCTCATCTAATTCCTAAAAAATATTTTCGAGTATTATTTCTTCCTTAAACATTTAATGAAATTCACCACTGAATTAATCAGGGCCTGGTGTTTCTTTGTGGGAAGGCTTTGGATTTAGAATTTTAAAAATAGATATATGGATAGTCATATTTTTTGTTTACATCTGTCAGTTTTTGGTAGTTCGGAATTTAGAATTTTTTTCATCTAGGAAGCAAACTTATTGACCTAACATTGTTCATGATGTTTCCTTATAATCACTTTAAGGTTTTACTATAATGTCCCTTTTTGGTTTATCTTATGGATGATTTTCATTTTCTTCTTTATTATCTCATATTATTAAACTAGAAATTTATAAATTTTATTAATCTTTTCAAAGAACTATATTTTGGTTAATTGATTTTTTCTATTGTCTTTGGGTTTTCTATTACTGTTTTATACTCGTATTTTTATTTGTATCCTATTTAATTTGCATTTAAATTGTATTTTAAAAACTTCTGAAAGTGAGAATTTAAAATTACTATATAACTTCTTTTCTAACATAAATGTTTAGAATTTCTAATATTCTGCCAAACACTGTTTTAACTGCTTTCCACTTATTTTGATAAGTTGTATTTGCATTTTTGGTTAAAGTGGTTTTTAATTTCCCAGGTAATTTTGTCTTTGATCCATGGGTTAATAAAAGTATGTTATTAATTTTTCAAACATTTAGATGCATCTGTGATACCTTCTTTTTATTAATTTCTAGTTTAATTCCATTGTGACCAGAAAATATAGTCTGTATGATTTCAATCCTTGAGACTTCCTTATGGGCCAGCCAGTGATCTCTGTTGGAGAATGTTACACACACACTTGAAAAGAACGTCTATTCTGTTGTTGATGCTGGGTGGAGTATCCTGTAAATATCAATTAGTTTAAGTGGCTTGTTAGTAATTTATAATTCCTCTGTATCCTTTCTGTTGTTCTATTTACTTTGTCAGTTTATTACTGGGAGAGAAGTGTTAAAATCTTTAGCTATAATAGGATGTATTTCTCTTTTTAATCTATCAGGTTTTGCTTCATGCATTCTGAATCTCTATTAACTGATGGCATACATATTACAATTATCATGCTTCCTGATGAAATTATACTTTAATCATTATGAAATGTCTCTTTTGTCTCTGTCATCATCCCTGCTGTAAAATCGACTTGAGTTTTCTCATATTAATATAGCCAATTGAGGTCTCTGATGCTTAGGGTTTGCATGATACATCTTTCCCCATTTATTATATATAAAATATTTAAGATTTTAAAATATTAAACCTTTTAATGTTTAAAAATGTTTAAAGTGGGGTTCTTGTTAATAATTTGGTCTGACTTAAAAAAAAATACATTTAGACCATCTTATGTCTTTGGAGTGCCAAAATCTTTTGTATTTAGTGTTAACTATTGATATGTTTGGTTCACTACCTTGTTATTGTTTTCTATTCGTTTCATCTGTTTTTGTTCTCTTTCTCTTTCCTGCTGCCTTTTGTATTAATTGAATGTTTTATGATTCTAGCTAATTTTGTTTGTTTGCTTGTTAAGTTAAAATGTGTTGCTTTATTAAACTGGTTGTTTTATATTTTAAAATATACATCTTTAAGTTGTCATAGCATACTTAAAGTGATAATATACATATATTACAAGAATCTTACAATAGTATACTTCTACACTTGATTTGATTTGTCAGAGGTTTATCAATTTTACTGTTATTTTCACAAATGATTTGGGATTTATTTATTTTATTTTGTTTGTTTTCTAAGTTGTTACTTTCTACCTATATCCTTATTAAATTATGTTTGTTCATCTTTGTTTAATAAATTATTATGCTTGCTTTTTGAATTACATTTATTGTTTTCTTTTTCATAATAGATGTATTTTCTGCTGTCAATTTTCAGTGCACCACAAATTTGGTCATATCTCATAGGTTTTAATAGGTAGCATTCTACTTCTTGTTAATATAAATAGTCTAAAAAGCTTCGGTTTAAATTACCATATTTAACCTAAGAGCTTTTTATGAAATAGTTTTAAATATTTCAAATGGTTACATATCGCTTAGTTTTGATATTCTTATTTTTGCTATATTTGCATTTTAGTCAGGAAAATTTGTTTTTATATTTGAATATGAATTTTTGCATATAGCATTTATTATTCAGGACTACATAGCTGTGTGCTAACAATTTTGATATAGCTACTAATAAAATGAAATCATAGACTAGTAGGTCAGTAGTGAATTTACAAGATTGTCTAAACCACCTCTCTCATCTTATCTCTATCTTTAAACATAACAATATGTAGTGTTTACTTAAAAGAAATAGAGACAAGCAAGGTTTCTTTGGTGGCTTAGAGATGTCATCCTTCCACCTTGTCAGTTGAAGCAATCAAGAACCCAAGAAAGCCAAAGAAGCTAGCTAGATTTTAACGGGCACTACAGCAAGGTGAGAGCTGGAAAGGAAGAGAGCTCCAGAGATCTGCAAAGGGGCTTTAAGTGAGTCTTGATCAGTATGACATCTTTAAATACCTTTCCAGGAAAATGACTAACTGAAAGGATCAAAAGGAACAATACTCAAGATTCACACAGGACTGAGAATAGTTGCTATTCCCAAAAGCAAGAGAGGAAAAAATATCTCTTAATAAATGGATGTGTGTTGACAATACTCTACCCTAAAGGATGAATCAGAGTAAGAATAAATCCAAGTGTTCATCTATCATTGGGCAATAATGTTAATGGGAAGTCTTCTGTGCAATTTTTTGGAAAAATGGTCTTCCCTGAGAGGCAAACCAGAAGAAGGTCCTTTTGCCGCATCTCTCTTTTTTCCTTGCACACAGAGAGAATCTGTTTCTTATAGCAATGGCAATATATGTCCACACAAGTCAACCAGCAGGAGGGTAGAATTCAAGATTTTTGTGACTAATGGAAGGATAGTATTTCCAAATCACCAAAGAGGCATGATACAGCATTCAGAAAAGTTCTTCCTTAGTAGTGTGGCAAAATTGGCCTTTCAGTAAGTACTACATTGGTCATATATAACAAAGCTTAAAAACAGAAAGGATCATGTTTCCAAGTAACTTAACTGTGCTCCAGAAGTAAGTCGAAGAATATTCATGAGAAGAAAAATAACCGGCATCCTACAGGATAAAACACACAATGACTGACATTCAATAAAAAATTACTAGCCTTGCAAAGATGTGGGAAAAATGGGACCCATAATGGAAATGTATATGTTTGTCAGCAGATTGTGGGAGCATTCCGCCTTACATGCAGGTAATCAAGGGGTGTGTTATCTATAAAGAATTTTAAAATAAGGATGAAATATTAAACACTGTTCTGTTTATTAACACCAATGGTTAATTAATCTAAACAACGAAAGTCAATAAATATCCTTTCTTTGTAGAGTGGACTGTTTTTCCCAGTTCCCACCCTCTTGGCATGCCACTGGCTCACATGCTAGAGTATAATTTTATAAAGGTATTAAATCTTGATGATCTTTTTATATTAACTTTTTAATGCAGTACAGGTTAAATAATAGACGTCAGTAGCTATTTATGGAGTGAAGATATGTTGGATTTTCTCCTGTGCTTTCATGTAGAGAAAACCTCAATGATGAAAACCTTAAATGTGGAAACTCATGATATCAAATAGGCTGCATAAAGCTTAAGGAAAAAATGGGAAACCTTAATGTTTGACTATACTCATTTTCCTAAGTTACCAATATAAAGGCAGTAATACATGAAGATTTTAATAACACAGAAAGTTTTAAATGATATCAAAAGAATCAAATTGTTGGTAAGGTGGACAGATAAAAAGAAATGCACCAAATCAATATAAATTTGTCTCTGAAATAATTTCATAGTTATTGAGGAAGTCTAACTAAGCACAATATTCCTTTTTGATAACCTTAAATATAGGAGTTATAGTTAAAGGACATCTGTGGGCACAGATGGGGTTTTTCCTAAGAAAGAACAAGGATACCATGCACAATATTATTCATAGCATTTTTTATTTATTTGGTAACTATATTTCTATATCATTTAATATTAAAACTTTCAAAAAAACTGTATGAATAAAATTTTTAAAATGTAATTGATCCATTTCTTCAAGTTAATTATCAAACTATAGAATTATTCTTTAATAATTAATTTACAGCTTTTGTGCTTAAATCAGTTATAGTTCACATGAGTGCAAAATAATTGCACCCTCAAATTTAAAACTGCATAGTTCCACAGGAAGGGAAATATGAAGATCTGGATTATATCCAGGTTGTATGACTTGGGACACCTAAATTAACCTTCCTAAGCATCAGTTTTCTATTTTGTATAAAAAAGACAATAAGAGTTTCTCTGGCCACAAAAAACTGTGATTAATTGAGCTGTATGTGAGAGAACTCTGTAAAAGCACTGTTAAAAATAAATTAGTATTAGTTGTATATATATTTTCTAATAAAAGTGATCAAAATTAAAATGAAATGAAATATTTCTTCAAGAATCCCTATTTTACAACCAGGTATTATATTTTATAGTTGACATGAATTTCAGACACATTGAAGTAAGTTTGTTTTGAAATTGTGGTACTCACTGAGTAAGATAAAACTAAATAAAAATGATAAACAACAGTAGCATGACAATAGGTAATCAATTCTTTGGTCATTGTCTGAATAGAAAGTATAATCTTCTAAATATGATCTCAAAAATCTCAGCAGCGCATAATACTATTGTAAGTGCTGTAAATGTATACATTGCAATGAGAAAAATGGTTTTTTCAAAGCGTTCTGGAACCATGCATCTTATAATCATGTTTTCCCCAAGAGATCTAGCATCACACAGATAAAGAGATTTTACTTGGAAACCAAAGAGTTGAATCTGAAGCCAAAATGCTGTTGCCTCTAGACTAATTCTTAATAAAACAGAGAGTATATAAATTACAGTGTAGATAGGCTTTTGAAGCATGCTTTCTTGATTGATGCTTTTACATGCAGCATAAATATGGAATATACCTCCAGGAACCAGGACAATCATAGTTGTAATGCCCAGAACAACTGAAGTATGTCAGAAATATCTTAGTAAAGCAATTAACGAATATGTAACTAAAAATACACTCCAAATCCACTAACTTTCAACAGAGGATAACCTAAAAATTCCAAGTTTCATAAAAATCTTCCATATGTCTTAATATAATGAAGGTGGTAATGTTGAACATATTTATTGTGAAAACATAGTCATATATTACTGTAATTGTCTCTCAATGACTGATAATTATGCAGTACTTTATTAGCCAGCTAATTCTATATTCTGAATATAGTTCTGGAGAATAATGATAACATCAGTAGATAATAAAATGCCAGAATTGGAAGAAACTCCTAAAACTCAATTTATCTGAAATATGCAGCTACTTAAAGAAAAAGCAAGTCCTTTAAAAAAAACTGTTAAGAGTATTTCTCGTGTTATGACATTATTTTACATTTAAAGAGAAAATGAATTTGTTGTAGAGTTAATGTTTATGTACACACAGAAATACTTAACTTATGGAGAGATTGGCCTGAACTGATTGTAACAGATGAGATTTATTCCTCTTTTGTCTGAATCGCAACTGAAGTGTAAGGTCTCATTCCCATAAACTGCAAAGCCGAGTGCCCCAGGGAAGAACATTCGGATTGATCCAAAGAAAAGGGTGTGGAATTGACCAATCACAGTTGGAGGTTTAACCTATTATGATTTTAGGAGGAAAAAAATCTTTTAAAAACAGACAATAAAGGAGGACATTTAAAAAATCCATATTATAATATTTAAAAATGTAAGATTCAAGCAGTTTTGAAGACACATAGGCCCTTGGAGATCATCAAATCAAATATAACTACTGCATTATGAGATTTCTCACTATTAAAATATGAAAAGCAACAGTCAATGGAGACATGTTGCTAATCAAATGTGTAAATGTGGAAATATTTAACCCGCTTTGAATTCAATTAATACCCCACCATGGCCATCCTTTTGAAATAAAATCAGAATATCTAGTGCTTCTTTGTGCAAATTAGATAACAAATCCAGTAGTAAGTTTGGTCCATATGCTATCTTAATAACCAAATAATGTTTATTAGTTATAATTACAGTTTTTCTTCCTACTTCTTAATTATGGAATTGAGAGAGTGAGCTATGCTAAAACAACAACATCTAAAGATACTTCCTGAATTTTTCTTTTTATAGTTTTAAATTCAGAATATTTTGAAGTATATTGTTGATACTTATAGTATTCTCCATTGACATAGAGGAATTTATTCACCAAGGTTTATGTAAATCAGGTTAAAATACTCAGAAAAGATTCATACAATTGATTTTTTTGTTTGCATATACTTACACATCCTTCATAGAAGTTTCTGATGTAATTTAGAGACACGTCTCAGATGTTATCCTGGCATTCCTGTGGGTTAATTCTTGACCCACATTGCCAGTTTGCTTCTGCCAGAATCAAACTCTTACATTATCTCAGGACTCTTAGAGCAGAAAACACTCATCATTACAAATTTCTCTCCCCTTCTCCTTTAATCTTAGATCTCTGGGGCCCCATTCAACCTTCTTATCTCTGTCTCCCCAAAAAATGAAAACAAAGAGACAAAAGCAGAGAACATGTGGCCAATCTAATAATCCCTTGACTTACACTGTCAGCATAGCCAGCCAGCCAGCCAGCCAGGAGAACCAGCAAAGCAAGAGGTCAGCCCCACAAAGGCTCTGAGCACTCAATGCTTCTGCAATTACCTGAAAAGTGGGTTCTTTATCTTGGAGTTTTCTCTGATAATTTGAAGTAATCTTTTTTTTTCTTTTTATTTTATTTAGATGTTTCCTAAAGGATAAGTATATGGTAAATATTCCTGATTCTTTATTGTTTACTTCCATAGAGTATAGTTAATTTCTGGGAAGTCCAAGAAATTGTAACACAGGATATAATAGCTATTGCGTCATTGAATATTATTGATATATTGCTATATTTGTCTAGTTTTTGAATGCTTGCCACAGACCTGGAAAAATCTATAATTAGATCTCTGGGCTAAGGAAAAAGATAGGGAACTGCTAATTAAGGCAAGACCAGGAGCTAGCACATATTGTGAGAACAATCCTTCCCATCGTTTCTTTTGTCCTTCAGTAGATACATCACCTTTTAGACATTGTTATGGGTGTTGAGGATCAGCAGGGATCAAGACAGACCAGTAACTACCTTCTGATTTACATATACACTTACTGTCTTCCATCCACCTATAATGTCATACAGCTAATCATTGATCATATCTGCTTTTTTCACTTGCCTTTCTCATTTTCTTGTGATCTGCCAAAGGTTGTGACTCCTGACACCGTCACTGCTTTCTTCCAGCAAGTGGAGAAGTGACTGCATGATACGTGTATTTGTAACTAATAAACAAGGGGCAGTAGTCTCGTTGAATAGGAGTGCTGTGCTGGATAGGAAGTAATAAAAATGAACAACTTAATGATCCCTCAGAATGGTTAGATAAAAGATATTTGTGTATATTCCCATCTTCTCAGAATCAGAATTTCAGGGTTGCTTTGTGTTGATTCCCATGAAGGGACATCTAAAAGCCCTAACAACCATTTGCATAAAAAGGAATCCTGCTTTGGCTTTTACCACTCTACAGTAATGAATGCTATTGTTTAGTCAGTAGTATACAATTATCAGACATGTAGAATCATCAATGTCTCCTTTCAGGGGTGTATAAAATTGTCTTGAACCTTAACTGCAAGTGTAGAAGAAGGAAATGAAGCATCATCGTCATTGCTGCGATCTATGAGGGGCCATATAATTAATACCGATCTTCTCTTACATGTTCTGATCCAATTGGGTAATAAGACAAAGGAATAAAGCATATGTGGGCCAAACTGTCACACATAAAGATTAGACTGAGGAGGGATGTTGCTTATCCCTTTAGGAAACTGTGATCCTTAGTGACACTGGCCTCACATGTATGGTTTATTGGAATGACAGTCTGGGTTTCTTGCATGCTAACAGTTACAGGTTCCAAAACAGAGAAAAGGTTATTCCCAATGCATAAGCATTGTTTAAGCCTCTGCTTGCCTCATATTTGCTAATGTTATATTAGGCAAAGAAAGTTTTAAGACCAACCCATATTTGAGAAAGATATTCTACCGCTTGATGGATCTATGAAGTCACATTGCAGAGGTGTGGGTGTAAGAAAAGAAAATATTTGTGGCCTACTTTATATTCTATCATAATGTGCCCACTGGTTACAAATATTAACATCCCTCCCATATGTCTTCACCGTCATTCCAGGATGCCAAAACTGTCATCTAATTATAGAACTAAGATTGAAGTCCAGGATGTTGTGATTGGTGTTATATCTGGATGTGGCTACTCTTAATCTAGAATCTAGAGAAACAAAGGGAAAAGTATTCTACATGATATCAATATACAATGGTGTTACAGAGATAGGATAACTACAATAGACACTTTCACTCCAAAAGTGGGAGAACAGAAAATATGTAACTGTCACTGTCTGTAACAAGTCTGGAATCTTGTGAGGAAAAATATTGCCAGTTGTCCCTACTCTGGAAGCAGGGAACATTTCATGAGGAAGTCACAGTAGCATTACCCAGAAAACTGTTCTGCAGCGTATTATACTTTTCTGCTTAACGGAAGTGGTTTTCTGGTACATTGTTGTCAGTGGCCTGTAGCTCCATTCTCTGTATTCTTAGCTGAAAGCATCTTCCCTTTTTCATAAAAAGAAATTACTATGCTTGAATAAATAACTTGCACAGACTGCTTCTTGCCTGAAGGAAGCTGGGGGACCAGAAGTCTTTTTTATAATCTGACCAATATCTGTTTTCTTTAAGCCAAAGTAATAGATGTTTTGGTGGTACAGTCCGCTTAATTACCCTTTGGTTTTCCATGTAATAGATTTAATATACTTAGCTTTAGTAAGAGTCATACAATTAAACACATACTTCTCTCTACAAATATATTTATGGCTATTTTCGGATTAGGCTTTTCTGAAGTGCTTTTAAGATATATAGAAATCTTTTGTCTAATTTAGATAGTCATTAGTTGTGCCTTAAATATTTAAAAAGCCTTATCAAAGGACATTATAGCCATGCCATTAATTTGACTTTTACCCTAAGACCATTTGTTAATTTTTTTTCATTTTTAAGTTACAAATTTTTTGTTTCTTATTATACTTTAAGTTCTGGGGTACATGTGCAGATCTTGCAGGATTGTTACATAGCTATACACATGCCATGGTGGTTTGCTGCCTCCATCCCCACTTCACCTACATTAGGTATTTCTCCTAATGTTATCCCTCCCCAACCCCCCTACCCCCTACTATTGTTCCCCAAGCCCCCCACCCCCCAACATATCCCAGTGTGTGATATTCCCCTCCTTGTATCCATGTGTTCTTATTGTTCAACACCCACTTATGAGTGAGAACACGTGGTGTTGGTTTTCTGTTCTTGTGTCAGTTTGCTGAGAATGATGGTTTCCAGCTTCATCCATGTCCCTGCAAAGGACATGAACTCATCATTTTTTATGGCTGCATAGTATTCCATGGTGGATATGTGCCACATTGTCTTTATCCAGTCTATCCTTGATGGGCATTTTGGTTGGTTCCAAGTCTTTGCTATTGTAAACAGTGCCACAGTGAACATATGTGTGCATGTGTCTTTATAATAGAATGATTAATAATCCTTTGGGTATATACCCAGTAATGGTATTGCTGGGTCAAATGGTATTTCTAGTTCTAGATTCTTGAGGAATTGCCATTACTGTCTTCCACAATGGTTGCATTAATTTACACTCCCACCAAGTGTAAAAACTTTCCTATTTCTCCATATCCTCTCTAGCATCTGTTGTCTCCAGATTTTTTAATGGTCACCATTCTAACTGGCATAAGATGGTATCTCAATGTGGTTTTGACCCCATCATCTCAGCCCAAAATCTCCTTAAACTAATAAGCAACTTCAGGAAAAATCTCATGATACAAAACCAATGTGAAAAAAATCACAAGCATTCCTATATACCAATAACAGACAAACAGAGTCAAATCATGAGCAAACTCCCATTCACAATTGCTACAAAGAGAACAAAATATCTAGGAATACAACTAACAAAGGACAGTAAGAACCTCTTCAAGGAGAACTACAAACCACTGCTCAAGGAAATAAGAGGGGACACAAACAGATCGAAAAACATTCCATGCTCATGGTTAGGAAGAATCAATATTGCAATAATGGCTATACTTCCCAGAGTAATTTGTAGATTCAATGCTATCTCCATCAAGCTACTATTGATCTTCTTCACAGAACTGGAAAAAAACCACCTTTAACTTCATATGGAACCAAAAAAGAGCCTGCATAGCCAAGACAATCCTAAACAAAAATAACAAACCTGGAGGCATCACACTACCTGACTTCAAACTACACTGTAAGGCTACACTAATCAAAACAGCATGGTACTGGTACCAAAACAGAGATATAGACCAATGGAACAGAACAGAAGCCTTGGAAGTAATGCCACACACCTACAACCATCTGATCTTTGAAAAACCTGACAAAAACAAACAATGGGGAAAGGATTCCCTGTTTAATAAAGGGTGTTGGGAAAACTGGCTGGCCATGTGCAGAAAGCTGAAACTGGACCCATTTCTTACACCTTATACAAAAATTAACTCCAGATGGATTGAAGATTTAAACATAAGACCTAACAACATAAAAACCCTAGAAGAAAACTTGGCAATACCATTCAGGACATAGGCATAGGCAAGGACTTCATGACTAAAACACCAAAAGCAATGGCAACAAAAGCCAAAACAGACAAATGGGATCTAAACTTAAGATCTTCTGCATAGCAAGAGAAACTATCATTAGAGTGAACTAGTAACCAACAGAATGGGAAAAATTTTTTGCAAGCTACCCATCTGACAAGGAACTAATATCCAGAATCTGCAAAGAACTAAAACAAATTTACCAGTAAAAACTAACAACCCCATCAAAAACTGGGTGAATGATATGAATAGGCACTTTTCAAAAGAAGATATTTATGTGGCCAACAAACATAAGAAAAAATGCTCATCATCACTGGTCATTAAAGACCATTCCTTACATTACAAAGTTTTACTGGCTAGGGAGACTAGAAAGGAGAGAAAAAATTCCCATGTAGCCAGTCTTGACCTCTCTATATTTTCTCCAGGTTTTGCCTGCAAACAGATTTCTAGGCCTCTTTACAAGGTAATGTAGGTTGATTGCTGAAACATGGGTAAGTGAGGGGGAAATCACCTTTGATCTTATTGTCTTCTCTGAAGAGCTCAGAAAATTATTGGGGTACATAATACCTGGATGATGCAGCAGAGCTTGGCCCTTATCTACACTCCTCATCAGATTTCAATTTTGTGAAGAGCATATGCCAAGCAGAGAACTAACCAAATACAATACATGCCAGAAGTGTCATAGAGAAATACAAGGACCCCATATAAATGAATGGCATCAATTTGAGTAGGAGGAAGCACACAGTACTTAAGATCATGGGCTCTGGAATCAGAGATTTGAGATCTCAAGCAGATTATTTCACACGCTTGAACCTCAGTTTCTCAAACTGGCAATGAAAATAGTATTTACCTCAAATGATTGTTGTATGTGGATTATTAAAGGATCTGGAGAACATTTATCCTGTCCTTAATGAGAGCCTCAACCAATTATTGTTTCAGTATATAAACCATGATATATTAACAAATTCATACTCCATAAGCAAAGAAGAGTCACTACTTCCTTGAGGGTAAAGAACCTTTGTGTTGGCCAGAGTAAGAGTGTTTTAGGGAAGAATTAATAACACATACAAATTCCATGTCTGTTTTCAATGTCTTTTCTTTCTCTCTCTCTCTGCCTCTGTAATTGGAAAATGAGTGCATTTTCCTTTCGAGTCTATCAAGATACCAAGACATCTGCTTGTCAGCAAGGACTAGTGGGATTGAACCCTAGAAAAGCTTAAGGCTTTGGTTAATTTAATCATTAAAATATACCTCTGTTCTCCCAGCCCTAAAGATTTTTTAAATGACCGGAATACATTTTCTGAGTAAATGGGCAAAATTTGGGGCACGGATACTAGTGTGTTTGCTCAAATTTTCTTGAAGTTTTGAGTTTCAGATAAATAAGGCAAGGTAAACTAAGATTTACTACTACTACTATTAATACAAAACTTGCTGACATTTATTCATCACTACTGTATGCTAGTACTAATCTAAACCCTGGGAGTCATGTGTAATCTTTTGATAGATATTCTTGGTGTCCTAAAATTTCTTTCTGAGATTAAAAACATTTAAGACCTTGTAGTGTAAACAAGAAAGGGGGTAAATTCTGGGCAAACCCCCAAATAGGATCAAAAAAAAATAACGAGTTAAAGCATTATGTATGATGATTAACACATGGAAATTAATGCATAAATGTTATATATTATTACTATTTACATCCGTTCTAATTTAATAGTTTGCAACAAGTTACCAAACAATCAAAGAAGAATGAATACTGATCCCTCTTAAGCTCTTCTGAAAAATTGAAGAGGAACACTTCCAAAGTCCATTTTCACTCTGATACCAGAGCCAGACAAAAACACCACAAGAAAACAACAGGCCAACATCCCAGAAGAATATAGATGCAAAACCCTCAGTAAAATACTAGCAAACCAAATTCAGCAACATATTAAAAGAACAATGCACCAGTGGGATTTGTCTTTGAGATGCAAGGGTTGCTTAATACATTGCAAATCAATAAAAATGATATACCACCTTAATAAAATGAAAGAAATTACAAGAGCTACAGAAAGATCATTTGACAAAATTCAAAGTCAATTCTTCATAAAACCTCTCAACTAGCTAGGTGTAAAAGGAACTTACCTCAACACAGTAAAGACCATATATGCAAAGCCCACTGCTAACATCATAATCAATGGGAAAAAACTGAAAGATTTTCCTCTAAGATCCAGTACAAAGTAAGGATGCCCACATTTGCCACTTCTATTCAACATATTACTAGAAGTCATAAACAGATCAATTGGATACAAAAAGACATCCGTACTAGTCTGTTCATGCAATGCTATGAAGAAATACTGGAGACAGAGTAATTTGTAAGGAAAAGAGGTTTAATTGGTTCACAGTTCGACAGGCTGTACAGGAAGCATGGCTGGGAAAAACTTAAAATTATGGCAGGAGGCGAAGGGGAAGCAGGCAAATCTTAATATGGCCAGACAGGGAGAGAGAGTGGGGAACTGCTACACACTTTTAAACACCCAGATCTCAGGAGCACTCACATACTATCACAAGAGCAGCACTGAAGCGACATCTCCCACCAGACCCCACCTCCAACATTGAGGGTTAAAATTCAATGATATTTAGGCAGGGATACAAATTCAAACTATATCAACATCTAAATCAGAAAAAAAAACGAGTAACATTATCTCTGCAGATACCATACTTATATAAGTAGGAAACACTAAAGACCCAACCAAAAAAATCCTATTAGAACTGACAAATGAATTCAGTAAAGTTGCAAGACACAAAATCAACACAAAAAAATCAGTGACATTTCTGTACACAAAAAATGAGCTATCTGAAAAAGAAATTAATAAAACAATCTCATTTACAATAGAAATAAAAAAAATATTTAGGAATTA